CAGGATTAGTTCAGCCTATGAGGAAAACCACCATGGTGGCAAAGGAGAGCATCCCAGTACAGGTGGTCTCCACAGAGGGTTAATACCGAATTTCTGCTCCTTCCAGGAATTCCCACTAATATTATATAAAAGATCGTAGAATCACAGAATCATTAAGGTTGGAAAAGACCTCCAAGACCATCCAGTCCAACTGTCAACCCAACACAACCATGCCTGCTAAACCATGTCTTGAAATTGTTGGTCTTGTCCGTAAACATCCCAGCTGGACCCGGCGGAAGGTTCCAGCCTGTGCCATTAAACTGAATTATTGGGGCTGAAATAACAAAACCGAAGGGGCTTGGGTGGCCTTTGGATCGCTCTCGGGCAGGGGCAGCTTGCCCTGAGCCCATGTCCAGGCCAGGGAATCAGCCGTTGCTCAAAGATCCTGGAGGAGAAGAAACTTCCCATTCAGTACAACTGGCTTTGTGGGCCCGGAGAGATTAATTAAAGGGAGCAATATTTTCTCTGCAGAAGGCTGGCAGAGGAGGGAAATGTCTTTGCATTTTCACTATTGAGCCAGTAATGGCTCCCAATACTTTTTAATCCTGAAAGTTGTATTTTCGCCTTTGGTGATACGCTGCAGAACGTCTTTGTGGCGAATACCAAAGCACAGACAGTTCTCACGCTTCCAGGGTAAGGGAAGACACAAACTTTATTCCGCCCTGCCTGTAAAACCCACGGAGCAGGTGTGGTTTAAGAGCAAAGGGCAGCTCGAAAAAACATTGGTAGTAAGCAGAACGCTTCAGTTTGATGGTATATTTTTCAAAAATAGTAATAGTAGTTATAGTAATATAATGAATTAAATGAATGGTTATTTCTGTTACAATAAGAATATCTGACATATATCAATACTTCTCTCAATTTATATGAGCAGATGAAATAATTAAGATAGACACTGAACATGTTAATCTGTACCTTTTCATTCATGGAAAAGGGTCATTCTGAAAGAAAATTAGACAGCCTATGCGAAGAAAGGAAGCTAGTGAAGCCAAAAAGCCAGTTTAAAACCAAGCCCCACAGTTTTGAAAATCAGCATATTAAATAATGGAAAGCGCACGTGTTCGGACGGCATTACGTGACAGTCTGCCAGATGGGAACCCTCGAGGGCACAAAGAATGTGTCTTGGGATCCTGCTGCTTCTTGTGTGTCCAGGTGTATGGGTCTGAGCTGATAAGAGTGAAGTCAGTCTTTGAAAACCCTATTAAAATTTCTGTTAGTTTTCCCTGTCTTGCTTAGAATTCTCCATTCTAGTGAGCACGCAAAGCGGAGTTGATTAAGGCACGGTGGGCTTCAAGCTTAAAAGGGAAGCGGTGAAACTCGTTGCCCTGTGAGACCTGGCAGCTCCTGGACGTCTGGATCGTGTCCAGCTCGAGAAGGACAAGAGAAGAACAATTTCTTTGCTGCGCCTGTTGACTTGGCAGCACGGCAATAGCAAACGCGTGGGGAACGCTCATTTAATGCCGAAATGCCCCACGGGTGGGGAATGTGGGGCTTGGTGCTGCCGCTCCCGAGCCGACGAGAGAGCTGGGGTCTGGCAGGAGACACCAGAGAGGTTTGATGGAGAAGATCCAACCCTCCTTGGGCTGTAGGTGAGAGTAGGATTGAGGACTATATGGACCTGCAGATCTTTTCTCTGTTGGATTCTTGTAGGTTGGAACTACATTTTAAATAGTTATTTTGCGAGGAAAGGCCAACTGTCCCATAATTGTTTGAAGCTTTTCTTTATTGAAAAAACCATATGAAACAGCCTCCAGTTTCTCCCTTCAGGCCATCATAATTTCCTGAGCTCCTGATGAGTGGTGTTCACTGGGACCTCTGACTTCTAAGGCCAGCCCTCTTATTTGGTCGTCATTTTGCAATTATGCCTACTCCTAGAGCATAGGTAATTATTGCCTGTCAGCAAGAGTTAATATTGAAATTGTTGCTGTTGCCTGCAATAGTAATAATGATAATAATAATAATTATACATCTGTTCAACTGAAGCAAATATAATAAAAAATAGGACTGTGTTGCAGCAGAATTCAAGAAACTAATATATTGCTTCATGGATCATTTGACAGGATATCACATCCACTAAGGTAAATAAATTTAAAGAAAACATCTGCTTTACATAGAAAAAAAAAAAGCTGACCCAGGTGCCGCTCTGCAGAGGTGTTGAAGGTCTTTGGTTTTGCACAAGCCGTGGCCAGATGTGTTTCCAGCTGCAGGTTTTGGCTTTTGGGAGGAAGGTCCGTGCTAGCAAACGGCAGCTTTCCCTGCTCTTCATCAAGCCCTTTATGAGTTTGTTTTTAATGGCGTTAGAGAGAACTGATTTCTGCGATTGTGAAGGGTGTAGTTCCGACTTTGCTGGTGTTGTACATCGCCATAGGATTGGGCTTCTTGGGCATCATTGCCCACCTGCAGCTGGCAGACCTTGGCGGGGATGGGTTCACCTGGGAGCTGCGCGCAGGCACCTCTGCGTGTGTTCGGTTGGTCCGGTTCTGTTCAAAAACACACAAAAATTGAAATGTCACCTCTACGTCAGGACATGCGGCTGGTACGCTTGTCCCAGTGCTCTGCCGGGCAGGACTTCTCTAATGACGGGGTGGAACCCACAGGATCGTTTCAGCCAAAAATCTAAAACGTGCTTAAGCCCCTGGAGCGTCTGCGGGAATTTTTTGGCTGAGGAGAGAACTCTGAACTGGTGTCCCAGTGGGGGGGAGGCGGGAACTGGAACAGGCTGCCCAGGGAGGTTCTGGAGTCTCCTTCTCTGGAGAGATTCAAGACCCGCCTGGACAAGGTCCTCTACATCCTACTGTAGGTGACCCTGGTTCGGCAGGAGGGTTGGACTAGATGACCCACAGAGGTCCCTTCCAACCCCGACCATTCTGTGATTCTGTGATTCTGGGGTCCGCAGGCGCCGGGGGCTCGGCCGGGCAGGAGGGAGCCCACCCAGCAGCACCCGCCGAGCTGGGAGCCGCTGCCGGGAGAGCTCCGCTCACCGCTCTGAGGGTTTGTTGTCAGCGGAGTCAGCACGTCCCAGAAACCTGTGCTTGCTGCTGATAGCTCCTGTATGACTTTTTTTTTAATTTTCTTTCTTATTTTTGGTAACGTTAGACTTCATCAGCCTGTCCTTTCATTCTCCTTGCTGGAGAACTGAGCAGAGGGACTTCAGAGGGATATTGCGAGATTTAATTAACTTTTCCAAACATTTCATGAGAGCGATGAATAGATGATAAAGAATTTAAATGGAAGCTCAATATTAAAAGTTTAGAATTAATTCAGAGACATCTGTCATTCCAAATCTCAATGTTGAAGCAACCAGGCTGCTTTAAAAAAAACAAAAAAACAGAAAAAAAACCCCAAAAAACCCAAACCAAAACAAATCAGAGGAAAGTCTTTGATTTCTTTCAAGCCAAATGTGTTGTTTCATGGAAAAGGAGAAAAAAGAAGAGGGGAGGGGGAGATAAAATGACCTCCTCCAGACCCCAGACTCCTAAAAACCAGTCTGCGTTCGTGTTGATTTTGCGGAGTGCCCTTCGGGAAAGGAGTGTCTCCTGCCCTATAAATCTGTTTTTTTCCCTTTGCTGCAGCAGCGCTAGGGCTGAGTGGTAAAGCTCTGTTTTTCGTGGCTCTTTCCCCATCTCTGAAAGGTTCCGTCTTTGGGGGCACGGAGGTTCTTTCTTCCAGAAGAATAACCTTTGTGAAATTATATGCATTTCAAAATAAATGCGCATAAAGTCCCGACACGGCGTTGGTGGTAGACTTCTACCTTCAGGTGTCAACAGGACGCTTTTCTGGGTTGCTTTGAGTCCTGATCGTGCTCCGCTGGTACGGTGCAGCGTGAGAGGCTGCTCTTGAGGAGCTGTGAGTAGAATACTCGGCGGAGCAGAAACACAGTCATGCCCATAGTATTTCCCAGCAGAACTGCTGAAGCCAGACTGCGAGCTTCTCCGGAAAGCCTGTATTTCCCCGTGTCTTGGGTAATTAGTCACCACACGAGTACTTTGTCTTCCCGACGTACGCAGCGTGCATTTGAAATTAGAATCCAGCTCTCTGCTTTTCTCGACGGCAGCCAGCATTAGAAACAGATGAAAATAGCAGACGTAGAACTGAAAAGGATGCTGTACATAGTTTAATGTATATATTCCATTTTCTATATCACTCGTGTGTTCCAGCGCTAAGTGAAGAATTTGCAATTGAGTTGCACGTTCTTGAGCCCGAGTCGTATTTTGCTTTTCTTCCCCTTGAGGCATGGTACCGAGTTTTAGGGAAGTGGGGAGGATAATGGATGAAATTTAAATCCATCATTTTATTTACTGGTTTATTTTTCCTGCTACTGTTATTTTTTACTGGTGATTTAATTAAGTTAACTTAGTTTCTAACTCCCCCTATTCTTGCTTTGTTAATTAATTAGTGCTGAGCAGGGACAGAATCACAGAATGGTAGGGGTTGGTAGGGCCCTCTGTGGGTCACCCAGCCCAACCCCCTGGCGAAGCAGGGTCACCCAGAGCAGGCTGCACAGCACCGCGCCCAGGGGGGGTCGG